TCAGTTAAATATGTTACTTAGAAATATAGAAGTATATATTGGTAGAAGCAGCAAACAAATAAAACCAAAACCAAAATAAAACCCGAAAATAACTGCTCTGAGAAGTAGAAAGCAGGAGATGAAAGAGATGGAGTAGGGTTCGCTAATTTTTGTTAGACACAGAAACAAAAAAGGAATAAATACTATAAAGAAAAAAGAGGCCAAGGATCTGGATTTGATGTGGACAGGGTAAGTGGGTGAGGAAGGAGAGGAAACCTGAACAACTAGTTTTCTAGATGAATGATCAGGTAATCTGAAGCTGACTATGGGAAAAGAGGAGGCATGATGGCAAGAGATATGGGGAGGAAAAAGAAGATATGCTGCATTTCACACATCCTGAATTTGAAGGTGGATGTAGCCTCAGAATGACCGGATCTAACTGTATCAGGACTCTCTCTCTCTCTCTCTCTCTCTCTCTCTCTCTCTCTCTCTCTTGTTTGTCTTTGGTTTGCTGACTTTAGTCTTTGACACCAGCTTCTTCATTCGGTGGCAATATTGCTGTAAGCATATTAGGAGTTTTAATTTGTGACCAGAAACTAAAATAAGCAGTCTTGTCTGGCAGGTCCGAAAAACTCTGGAGATTGTTACGAAGATCCAAGCTAGATCACGTGCTCCCCTCTGTGGCCAGAGGCTGGATCTGTTACTAGGAAAAGGTGTCTGGAGGAGAAAAGCACTACCATACCACATCTAGAACTTTTCTTAAAATTTGTATTCCCTTTCTTTCAAGGCCCACCCCCAAATGTACCCTAATGATAGATGTTATAACTACTTCAACTGGCATTCATTTAGCCTTCCTCATTAATATGCATTGCTTTATTACTTGTATGTCCTTTATCATGTATGGCACTTAGCTGAAATTTTTTATGTGTGTATATTGTATTTCCTCTCCAAGATTTTAAGATTCTTAAAAAGTGTGAAGTGTGACCATGAAGAAAAGCACCAGAAGGATTATTTCTAAATAAGAATTATCCATGTTAGAATAGTAAGCTTGGAAGAGTGAAAGCTTCCATGATTCTATTCCCACCTTACCCAAAAGGCCCTCTTTATAACTGTTTTCAAACTTCATACTCATTCTTTTGGTATCCTCTTTGTAAGTGTTTTCAAACTGTGTACTCATTCTTTTGGTATCGTTCTTTGGAATATTTTTCCTGTTCAAGATAATTATATTTTGAAACAGTCAAATCCAATAACAAGTTTCAAAGTTGATTTTTGATACAAATATTGGATTTTGATTTAGATTTTTGTAATGGACAAATTTAGGGACAGTTTTCATGAATAAAATAGGTAACCATAGTGTGTGGTGATGTCTTCTCCCATGATTTGTAACTTGGCTGTAAAAGTCTTTCCAAAGGAGTCCCAAATGTTTTTATTTTTATTTTTATTTATTTTTTATTAAAAAAATTTTTTTAACGTTTATTTATTTTTGAGACAGAGAGAGACAGAGCATGAACGGGGGAGGGTCAGAGAGAGGGAGACACAGAATCTGAAACAGGTTCCAGGCTCTGAGCTGTCAGCACAGAGCCCGACGCGGGGCTCGAACTCACGGGCCGCGAGATCGTGACCTGAGCTGAAGTCGGCCGCTCAACCCGCTGAGCCACCCAGGCTCCCCTCAAATGTTTTTATTTATTTTTTTTTTTAATTTTTTTTTCAACGTTTATTTATTTTTGGGACAGAGAGAGACAGAGCATGAACAGGGGAGGGTCAGAGAGAGAGGGAGACACAGAATCGGAAACAGGCTCCAGGCTCTGAGCCATCAGCCCAGAGCCTGACGCAGGGCTCGAACTCATGGACCGCGAGATCGTGACCTGGCTGAAGTCGGACGCTTAACCGACTGCGCCACCCAGGCGCCCTCCCCTCAAATGTTTTTAAACAATGAAGTTATGTATTTACTAAACATAAATGTAGCACTTATTGTGTTTTACATAAATTCATTTACATTCATTTATTCCTATAATAAACTAATGAGGAGGGTATTATTGTTGGCCCCATTTTACAGAAGAAGAACGTGAATCACAAAGAATTTATGAAATTAATGTCACAAACTAGGAAACAGAGTTGGGCTTCAGTCCCAAATCCATGTAGCTCACCATTGCTGATATGCTACACTATTGCTGTAATGTTAATTTTTCCAATAGAATCACTAAGAAAGGAGTTGCATGCTTATACCTTTGAGCCAAATCCATCCTTTCCAGTTTTCGTACAGTCTGTAAACTATATTATTTGATATATGAAAAACAGTGAAAGAGCATATATTTTGGCACATGAAAATGACATGAAATTGAAATTTTAGTGTCCACAAATAAAATGTTATTAGAACACATCCGAGTACACTGGTTTTTGTATTGTCCATGCTGCTTTGGCAATGGCCACAAAGCCCAAAATATTTGCTATCTGACCCTTTATAGAAAGTCTTTACTGAAACCTGACTTAGAAAAATTGTAATTCTCCGGATGCTTAGGTTCTGACACATTTCTCAAAAGAGATTACAAACAAATCCCCTTGAATTAATTTACATTAAATTAAATATAAATTCTTATTTCAAATTCTTTTAAATTACATTAATAACCATGCATATAGTAGCACATACCCAGTCATTCTTTAACAAACGTTTAATTCATATATGCCAGACACCGCCTGTAGAAAATTTTAAAAACACACGGAAGTATAAAGAGTAAAATAAAAACCTTTATTAATATCCTTTACAGTCAGTTCTCATGCTCCCCAAAACCATCTATGTAGTGCTTTGCATACCATTAAGAGATCCATAAATCTTTATTAGTAATTAATTTTGGGGTATTTTACACATAGAATGTGTTTCCCGTTAGGTGCTGAATGGCTCCATATGCTTATAAAGAGATAAAAGGAAATCATGCAGAGACAGCTTTCTGATGAAATAAATAAATAAATAAAACCTAAATGCAACTAGAAAGAGTTCATGGAGCATTGTGGTTGAGGGCAGGTCATGGAGCCAGACTGTCTGCCTTCAAATCTTGCTACACTGTTTACTTCCCGCCCAAGCCACATGCAGAAGCCCTCAGTTGGATGGATCACTTACTCTCCCTGGCTTCAGTTTCCTCATCTGTAGATGCATGTGTTTTTTAGACAAAAGGATCTGTAAGGTGTCAAGGATTTTATGAACACATAAGTTTGAAAAAAGGACCAGATATGACGGGTTTCAATTTTTAACATTTTTATTGAGACACTGTTTGGTGTGGTGTAAGATACCAAGCAGATAAGAATGAGGTCAAATAAATATTTACTGCTGGCTAAACATTAACCTTGCTTGGTAATATTAGATGAATTATCTTATCCTTCCTTTAAAAATAGAACATTCACTCCTGTGGATAAGCGTATCAGTCCATTTATTTTTCAAAGTAAAGTGATAAGTATATAATAGTAAAGATAAGTTGATACCTAAACAAATTGCCTAGAACTGTAGTTAAAGCTGAGTGATTTTTGTATTAAATCAAAATATCTGGAAATATCCATTTTATTCTTTAATTCAAAACATGATTGATTTAGAGATATGTAGAGATGGGCAATAGCCCACTTAAGATCAATATTTTTCATCTAGAGTTTTAATTTAGGATATTATACAGTTTTCATTTCCCAGATGATGCTACTCTTCCTTCTTACCTGTCCTTAACATAGACCACTTTCTCCTGAAGGGTGACTAGAGGCGGCTTTGCTCTTTAAGGCTGCAACCCAGACAGGTTATAGAAGTTAAGCCATGGGAGGCTTGCCCTGTTCGGTTCTTAGGAGAGTAACTCCCAGGGAGGGACAAGGAGAGGAAAGGGGCATTCTGGTGAGGGGTTGCAGAGCATCTAAAAAATTTCGTTGCCAACTATATATGTGGTATTTCTTCTGAGTCAGAGAAAATAAGTTTGATTTTATACTTAATACCTATAAAAAGTCTCACAACCTTTTATTGCTTATTTACTTAAAATAACAAAGGATTATTTTTCTAAAGTCCCTTCTAACTCTAATGTCCTGTACTACATAGCCAGTGGCACAATTCTTGATTTACTCAAAACTGGTTGAGAGTGAAATAGGCTAATAGGTTTGTCTGTGGACACATGCTTCTCCACATTTCAGCCTCTTGAGATTCTGCCCTCCAGCCATATTGAATTTCTTTTTGTTTCTGTAATTGGCTGTGCTCTTTTATTCCAGACCTTCAAACAATATGTTTACTCTGCCTAAAAACTCATTCCCTACGTCTTTGCTTGGCTAATTACTACTGATTAAAATTCCTTCATTTGACATAGTTACTGGTGCCTTATACATACCAACTTCCTTCCAGGCTTTCCTTAAGTAAACTTTTTCTAGAAGTTTCCTGGCCCTTCTAACTAGTTAGATGCTTTTGCCGCATGCTCCCATAGCAACCTGTACTTCTATCATAGCCCTTAGAATACTTTATTGTCTGCCATTGCCAATTCCATTGTCTAATAGACTTGACTGTGAGCTTTAGTGGAAGCAGAGAATCATCTCCACCTATGTCTATGCCTGGGGCCCAACACAGTATTTGGCATCAAGCAGCTGATAAAAGATACACGTTGGGTGATTGCCAAAATAATTATCAGAGTTTTCAGTATACACATGCATGTAAATAGAAGTCCTTTAGAAGTAAAAAAAAAGAAAAAAAAAGAAAAGAAAAAAGAAGATTTAAATAAACTTGTTTGGTTTGAAATTCACTTACGCACCAAGTCCATTAGCCCATTTCAGTTTGCCGAATGCCACTAATATTTAGCTCACTGATAAAGCTCAGAAATGTAGAAAATGAGAAGTTTTGGGGTCCCCGGGTGGCTCAGTTGGTTAAGCGTTCAACTACAGCTCAGGTCATGATCTCGCAATTTGTTAGTTCAAGTACCACATCGAGCTCTGTGCTGACAACTTAGAGCCTGGAGCCTGGTTTGGATTCTCTGATTCCCTCTCTCTCTGCCCCTCCCCCACTTGTGCTCTGTCTCCCTCTGTCTCTCGAAAAAATAAACAAATGTTAAAATTTAAAAAATAAAAATAAAACTAAAGATAATGAGAGGTTTAAAATCAATGATTATTCTCATTTCAAAAGAAATAAGACATCATTGGAAGGGTTGCATTTACAATCATCACATAGCTGCATGATCAGTCAAAAATGTATTATTTTCAGAAGACTGAGGCTACCCGGTGTGGCTCTCCAGGTTGCTCTGTCCACCGATTTATGATTTTCTGCCGTATCTTTACAAAAATGGCAACTAATGGTGCTGTTCTGAAGAGACTGGAACAGAAGGGTGCAGAAGCAGATCAAATTATTGAATATTTAAAGCAGCAAGTTGCTCTTCTTAAGGAGAAAGCAATTTTGCAGGCAACTTTGAGAGAAGAAACTTCCAGTTGAAAATGCTAAATTAAAGAAAGAAATTGAAGAATTGAAACAAGAGCTAGTTCAGGCAGAAATTCAAAATGGAGTGAAACAAATACCATTCCCAACTGGTACTCTACTGCAAGCTAATTCCACGGTTTCTGAAAAAGTGATACAGTCTATACCAATAAGAACTGTATCTTCTGGTGACAAAGAACAGATAACAGGAGGAAGAGCGGAAGAAAAGATGAAAGAGAAAATTGAAATGAAAGAGAAAAAGGAGAAAAAACAATCAATAGCAGGAAGTGCTGACTCTAAGCCAATAGATGTTTCTCATCTGGATCTTGGAGTTGGTTGCATCATTACTGCCAGAAAACATCCTGATGCAGATTCTTTACATGTAGAAGAAGTAGATGTTGGAGAAACAGCCCCAAGAACAGTTGTCAGTGGCCTGGTGAATCATGTTCCTCTTGAACAGATGCAAAATAGGATGGTGATTTTACTTTGTAACCTGAAACCTGCAAAGATGGGGGGAGTAATATCTCAGGCAATGGTAATGTGTGCTAGTTCACCTGAGAAGGTTGAAATCTTGGCACCTCCTACTGGGTCTGTTCCTGGAGACAGAATTGTTTTTGATGCTTTTCCTGGAGAGCCTGACAAGGAGCTAAATCCTAAGAAGAAGATTTGGGAGCAGATCCAGCCAGATCTCTGCACTAATGATGAGTGTGTGGCTACATACAAAGGAGTTCCCTTTGGGGTGAAAGGGAGGGGAGTGTGTAGGGCTCCAACTATGACCAACAGTGGAATAAAATAAAATAAAATAAAATAAAATAAAATAAAATAAAATAAAATACTCATTTACTGAAATACATCGGAGAAAACTTTAATAACAAGAAAAAGAAATATATTTGTCAAAAAATATTATTTTCTAGTGTTTGAAGTTGCCATAAAGAACTAAAATTTCAAATGTTCTAAAACTTGCAATCACATTTTAAAAATAGGTTTTGATACCTTAACTGAAACTTAAAAAATAGGTCCCATAATAAATACCATTTGTTTGATATCTGTTCACTCGGCTTGGGAAACAATAACAAATTCCAGAGACTGGGTGGCTTAAACAATAGAAATGTGTTTCTCACTGTTCTGGAGGTTAGAAGTCCAAGATCAGGGTCTAGCAGATTTGATTCTAGTGAGGACTCTTTCTGGCTTGCAGATGGCCATGTTCTTGCTGGATCCTCACATGGCCTTTCCTCTGAGTACACATGAGGGGAGAGCAGGCTCACTGGTGTCTCTTATATGACCAGGGCTCACGATTCTGACTTCATTTCATTGTAATTGCTTCCTGACTCTAAATACAGTCACATCAGAGGTTAGAACTTCAATCCATGAATTTGGGGCAATCCAACTCTGTCTGTAGCTTTATCGTCCTAGAATAACATTTTAAGTAATTCAACTTGAAGTCCTGGAAAGTACTCTTTTTTGCACATATAACACAAAGTCATATTGATTCATTAAAAAAACAAAAAGTCTCCCCATCCCCTCTACTAAAGCACTGATAGGATGATGCAAGGGAGATTATTCTGGAGTTTGGAGTAATAGTCACTAACTTGGCATTATCTTTACAGGAACTGATTATTATCTGGCCAGATTTTCATACAAAGCATTTCCTCTTGAACTTTTAATGTAGTCTCATTTAGACTTGCAGACCTGGTCATGAACTCAGAAATAGTCCCATTCAGCTCTTCATCTTAAAGATGAAGAAATCTATTTCCAAACAGGCTGTGTTGTCCAAATTCTTTAGCAAGTTATTCAAAGCTTTTCATGATTTGTCTCAATTTACATTTTATCTAAATTGTCCTTCCTTCTCCCGCACTGTATGTTTTCACCATTCCAGATTACTTGGCAGTTACCCTTCAAGGTCCTGCTTGAAACCTCTCCAGATGCTTCTGCCTACATTCCCCAAACAAAACTGATTATCCATCTCTGTCTCTTCAGAGTTTTTCCAAATGCTTGTATGTCATTTATCAAACTATATCATCGTAACTTGTATTAACTTATTTTCTCTATTCAATTTGAGCTTCTTGAAGTCAGCAACTGGGCTGTATATGCACCAGTTCTAACCTATAGTACAGGGCTTAATAAATGATTTCCAAACTTTATTTCTGAAGGTCACATGGCTAATAAGTAGTACATCAATAATGGAAATTCTGACTTCCTGACCAGTGCTCTTTTTTTACTCCTAGGCTACATTTCACTTTTAGGACAGTGCTGTTAGAGTTCTAGAAGGTCTTTTGAGTCCAATTACTTCATAAGCGTAAGTCAAAGAAGCCTCAGAAAAGTTCTTCCCTGAGTCAGAGATTACATCCTACCTTACTGTCTGATGCCAAAGTGTTTCAAATATGCCATTCCAGAGAAAACTGTTATATTTCTTCTTAGGCAAATTTAACCCAACTATTCAGCACCAAAAGTCAAGTCTGACATGGACTATTACGACTCCAGCTTGCAGGGGAACTATGCAAGGCCTGAGTGTGGTCACACTGTAAGATGCCTTATAGAAAAGTCACTGATGCCTCAAAGAGATTAAAGGTCAATGAAGTTAAGCCTGGGGCAACTGTTCTCTGAACTCTGGCACATTCTTACTGGTTTTCTGCCATTTTATTGTGTTTGGCCTTTCCTTTATGGTTTAGCATGGATTGTGAAATTCTGAATAAAGTTACAAGAAGACAGGTTGTTTCTTCTTTTGTGAGTCCAATCATAATTCTTCAGGATTTTCTTTCTTGAGAATTGTAATAGTTGAGAGATTTTTGTGACAGATGAGTTGAATTCTTACGAAAATTGGGATGAATGAAAACACCTATTTTTTTCCAATGCTGTATGAGTTACCCTGGATTAAAAACATACTACAAATTTTGCAATACTCTGAAGATGTGAAGAATGCTTGGAAGAAATTAGAAGAGGACCACTGGATAATTAAAAAAAAATATGTACATTCCACTTAGGATATAAATTTTATTAAAATACCTGTATGTATCTTCTCATAAGTTAGGTATTACCTTGAAAGAGATAAGAACTTTCTGAAAAATCCCCAGATACATCTTTAAATTTTTTTAATGTTTATTCACTTTTGAGAGAGAGAGAGAGAGACAAAGCACTAGCAAGGGAGGGTTAGAGAGAGGGAGGCACAGAATCCGAAGCAGGCTCCAGGCTCTGGGCTGTCAGCATAGAGCCTGACACGGGGCTCAAACCCATGAACTATGAGATCATGACCTGAGCCAAAGTCAGAGGCTTAACTGACTGAGCCACCCAGGCACCCCCAACCCAGATAAAACTTTAAAGGCTAATGTTATTATAACATGTTGCTTTATAACAAACATTCTTCTATCCACTTTAAGTTTTTCTGGAACTCACAGCTGTAAGTCAGTAGACATGTAATACGCAGTTGTTTTTACTTATAAACAGTAAAATAACCTGAAGAACATTAAAACTCTAATCAGATTTTCATCTCAAAATATCAGTTTTATTTCCTCCAGATCAGTGAGATTGCAAAGTTTAAGTGCCATCTTGGTAGAAGGATGAGGGATGGACTTTGGTTTGCATTTAGTCCAAAGCCCTTGATTTCTCAGGTAAGTATTTTTTTTTGTTTGCTTAGCAGCATGGACTATTATTAATTTGCCTCCTATGTTTTCTCCTGGCCTAAAGTAGGTGAAAGAAAAGTAACAAGAGTTTCCTTTTCCTTTTAAAGAATAAACATTAAAATATTTTCCCATTTTATCCATTATAGTTTCTCCTTCCCAAAGAACCCAATCACAAAATAGGATTTTAATACCTTTAAAAGTACAACATACAATTCCTAAGGAAGGAGCCAATAACAATGCTCACAGACAAGGGAAATAAAAAAGTGAGTATTCCCTTTTATCTGAACTCAAGCCCCCAAAATGGTCATTTCTTTTTTCTTTTTTATCTTCTTTGCTTTCTCTATGTGCTCATTGCCAAAGTTATCCAAGTTAAGGTTATGCTCCCCTGCAAGTTTGTGGATGATAGTCCTCTGTAACATTATTTGAAAGATAATGCTTATTTTATCAGGCAAAAGGAAAACAGTTACAAATGATCTTTTTAAACAGTATTTGTTCTCTGGCCTCTCTGCCATCTCACAAAACCTGCCCCATAAGCTGATCCGGAATTCCTGGTAATTGAAATGGCTTATTTTGTATCCTCAACCCATCAATTTAGTTTTATTGGGTAATGTTACGCTCAGGTAATGCTATACAAATCTGGGCAAATGAGTTTTACTTCAAAGACTTGGGACTCAGATTATAAGTGAAAAGAGCCCAGTTCTGCTGGTGACGTGCACCTGCTGATCTGCCTGAAGTTGATGTGGATCTCGACTCTCCGAAGGGGTGGAGCATACTTTCAGCCACTGCAGCAAAACACAACTCATTCTAAATGAAGCATCGGAGAGGAGAGCTCAGCAAATCCAGTGATGCTGAAATTTGTCTGGAACAGCAATCCTGAAGTCGGCTTTGGGACATCCAATAGTGCCTTCAATTATGTAAGGAGTTTTGCAAAATTCTTTAAGAAGTCTCAAAATATAAATTAACTAGTTATTACCAAAAAATGATATAAAATAAATAGCAGCCGTGCCATGATTTCAGGAGAGAAGATGGACAGTGTCACAAGTTAAGCAATGAGATATGATTGTAACTTGTAACAAGTTGGAAGTTTAAGTTCTAAAGCACTACAATATATATCAGAACATATGTGAAGTTTAATGCCATTCAGGTTGTTAGGGAATGAATAAACAGAATGTCTGGGAAACTGGGGATGCCATTACACTTGATGTTGTTCTACACAGAAATGGAATGGGACAACTGCTAATTCAAAAACTTCATATAAAGAGCTACTGCATCAACGATTAAAAGTGCGTATGCCAGATTCTACCTTAGGGAATTTAGAAAACATTCTCCCCAGTTTCCCCCATTTCTTCCAAAACTGGGGAGAATGCTTTCTTTGCCTATCTCCACATGAGACAGACAACCTGGGTTCAAAAGAGCTGGCGTGCCTAGAGGAATTTATTTCATGTTTCTGAGTACTAGTTTCCTCTTCTGTGAGACGGGAATAATAACATCCACCTTGTTGGATTATTTTGAGAATTAAATGCACATAAAACACTCAGCTCAGAACCCTGCCCAGGGTGACTATTCAACTCAGGTTAGTTTACCTGACAGTGGGTTACAACCCTGTCTGTACATAAGAATCCTGGAAAAAATTTAAATCTACTGGTGTGAGGGCCCTGTCACAAACCAGTTAACATTAGAACCTGGGGTTAGGGACCACATGCTGGTCTTATGAAAACTCCCCAGGAGATTCTAATTGCAGGGAGAGTTGCAAACCATTAAGCTATCCAATTAGTCCACCAGTGATTCTTAACCTTGGCTGTGCATTGAAATCACCTGGGAACTTAAAAAAAATACCGATGCCTGGGTTTCTGCTTCTGATTTAATTGGTAAAAGGCTCAGTTTGGGAATTGGCAGTGTTCACAGTTCTCCAGTTAATTCCTTTTCTTTTTTTATCTCACTTTATTGAGATCTGACTGACATAGAAAAAGCTGTCCATATTTAAGATATACAACTTGATGAGTGTAGAGATAGGTATACACCATAAAATCACCACCACAGTCAAGGCCATAAACATACCCATCACCTCCAAAAGGTTTTTCCACCCCTTTTATTTAGTTAGTTTATTTTTCCTCAGTTAATCCTAATGTGTTCCAGATTGAAGGCCACATAGAATCAGGAGGATAACACTTGCTCTGTGCATTCTGGTTGCACAGTGTGATTTCTTATCTCTTATAAATAGCCTAATTTTTCTGATTATGCAGGAAATCCAC